GCAGAGGAAACTCACCCGGGAGCCTTCCTCCTGTTTTCTGGAGGAGGCTGAGGACCTGAGGTCAAGGTGGAGTCAGAAACCAGGTCCTACAGACTCATTCTGGGTCCTACTGGGTCTTACAGGCTCATTATGGGTCCTAAGAGCTCATTCTGGGTCCTTCCTGGTCCTAAAGACTTATTCTGGTTCCTACAGGCTCATTTTGGGTTCTTCTGGGTCCTAAGAGCTCATTCTGGGTCCTACAGGCTCATTTTGGGTCCTACTGGGTCCTACAGGCTCCTTATGGGTCCTTCTGGGCCCTACAGGCTCATTCTGGGTCTTTCTGGGTCCTACAGGCTCATTTTGGGTCCTTCTGGGTCCTAAAGGCTCATTCTGGGTCCTATAGACTCATTCTGGGTCCTACAGACTCATTCTGGGTCCTACAGACTCATTATGGGTCCTACAGACTCATTCTGGGTCTTACAGGCTCATTCTGGGTCCTACAGACTCATTGTGGGTCCTACAAACGCATTTTGGGTCCTAAAGACTCATTCTGTCCAGATGGACTCAGAAACAAAGACCAGCAGGAGGAGACGGCATCACCTCGGACATTTAAGAACCAGTTTTGTGGGGTTTAGCTTGAGGGGGACTACATTTATCTGGGGGGGCCAGGCCCTGGTCTGGACTGGACCCGGCCCTAGTCTGGACCTGGTCTGGCCCCTTTAGACCCGGCCCTGAACTGGACCCGCCCCTGTTCTGGACCTGGCCCTGGTCTGGACCCGGCCCTGAACTGGACCCGGTCCTGGTCCGGACCTGGACGATCAAACCCCCGCAGAGACTGAAGCTGGGCATAAAAAACCTGGACCTGATGGTTGGACCTTTATCTGAATTATACTCAAAATGGCCGCCGCTTTATTCGGCTATGTGAGGAATTCCTGATGTATAAATACCGGTGATGGAGTGCTCAAATGACCCGCTCCCAGTGTGGGAACGCTGCTCCGACTGGTCCTCAATAAAAAAATGTTAAACTGACTGAGATCCAGACGCCTATCAGAGCAAAACCTGCCCCCCAAACTCCCCCCAACTCCCCCAAACTCCCCCAAAGTCCCCCAAACGCAGCAGACTAAACTATCGGAGGAATCTGGGAGGTTCTCCGATGCCAAAAGTGGAGTTTTATCCCGGAATGCGGAGCGTTTTTTGGCCGGCCGGCGCTTTAATGGGTGGTTTGACGGTCCAAGGGAGGCGAGGAGAATCTGTTTTCTCTGTTAAAGGCTCCGAGTCGGGCCAAAAAACGACCAGAAACGAGCCTGAACTCTGCACTCCGAGTTATTAAAGCCCAATCTGATCGCCGGTAATTCGCCTCCGAGGGGAAAACAAACAGCCGCCATGTCTGATGTTCGAATAAATCCGTAAAAAGCTCGGTGTTTAGTGCTGGATTATTCCGCTTTAGGGCAGACTAAGAGGTCCAGGCTTCCTCCCGTTGCTCTTTATTTGCAGCAGAAGCTGGAATCCTCCAATCAAAACAGCCGTAAACGTTCAGAATCACCCTCCAGAAACCTGTTTCCTCCCAATTTTATTTCATTCTGTGTGTTCAAAGTACTCAGAAAACACAGGAAAAATGACTCACAAGGCAAACATAATCAGATGTGACCTGGTTTTAAAAATAGGAAGAAAACCAGGTGAAAGAAATTAAGCTAGCAATGATATTTAGCTAGCATCCACGAATGCTGAAACCTGCTTTGTGTGTCTCTGGATGTCAAACTTGATGTGGACTAACTGATTTTTGTGTCTTCTTGTGTCATTTTCTGATCAGTTTGTCCCTTTTTCTGGTGTTTCGCTCCTAGTTTTGGTCATTTTATGGCTAATTATTGGAGTTTTGCGTTATTTGTTTATCATTTTCTTGTCTTTTGCTGCATTTTTCTGCAGTTTTGTGTCTCTTTTGTCTCATTTGTGCAGCCTCAGCTGGTTTTTGTGTGTCTCTGGGTGTCAGGATTGTTTTGGGCTAACGGTTTTCCTGGAGGACTTTAAACTAACAGGAGCATTTAGTTGGAGTTGTTTTTGTTCTCTGAACTCTGAGAGGCTGAGAGCTGAAATCCTCCAATCAAAACAGCCGTAAACGTTCAGAATCACCTTCCAGAAACCTGTTTCCTCACAATTTTATTTCATTCTCTGTGTTCAGAATACTCAGAAAACAGAAAAACTGACTCACAAGGCAAACATAATCAGATTAGACCTGGTTTTAGAAATAGGAGGAAAACCAGGTGGAGGAAATTAAGCTAGCATCCACGATAGCATCCATGCTAAAACCTGCTCTCCTCCTACAGCCTGAGCTGGACTTTGTGTGTCTCTGACTTGTTGTGGACTCCCCGATTTTTGTGCCTTCTTGTGTCATTTTCTGATTTCCATCATGCAGAGAACGTACTGCTTCTCTGGACCAAAGCTCACTTTTCCCCGTAAACATTTGGGCCAATAAAACCCTAAAAAAAGGCAGGCATCAGCATAGATTTTCCTGCCCTTTTACTTCCTGGTTGGTCCCCCTCTTCCTGCCTCCTACTTCCTGGTTGGTCCCCCCCTCTTCCTGCCTCCTACTTCCTG